GATAACCGAGCCAAATGGAATTGGCTTGCCACGACGTAGAATAAAAGAGGTATGCATACACAATGGCCGCACCCAAACCTTTTTGTCCAACCGGTTGCTGAAGAGGTTCTCTACGTCAGAGTTTTCCTTCACGGGAGCATCTGTGCACGACCGTGTCATATCGTTGGCAGCGAGATCGCAAGTAATTAGCAGTACAACGCGAAACATCAGTGCAGCAACGACGTCCATAAGAAATTCTCGTTGTTGCAAACCAAGTGAACAGTAGTTGCACTTGGCCGTGACTTATACCAAGCCATCTTCACCTTCTCAAAGAACGACCACATCAGACGATGAAGACGTCCGATGGCGGATATCTTTAACCTGTACATTGCATAACATGTGCTGAATTATCAGCAATACGCAGAAGGCATGTACAAACCGTTTTTAGGAGAACAGCGGGCCCTTGAGAATAATCACATCTATTAAAGACCATGGTTTTTTTAACGTGCCAAGTCTCTTTCTATTTTGGGACCAGGCGGTAACTGGTAGGCGACAGACAGTGAATGTGATTGCAGCGCAACCTTTAATTTATAAACTTAGCTGATAAAAGATATTATCGGTAAGCTTGTGTTAAAAATGAGACCTTATCTTGACGTTTATAAATCTTGTATAAAGTAAAATGATAATAACAGGGACTTTACCTTTCATTCCTAGCTGATCGCGTTTATAACTGTAATGTACTGCTTTTTTCAAACATTAATAGCATCGTACTCCTTCTTCAGTGACTGCTGCTAATGCATAGTGTTTTGCAACTTGATTTAGCTCTTTCGACTGAATCAATCATATCAAAGGGGCAAGCTCCCGAACCTATACTCTATCTTCTTTTAGTTATGAGTTAGAGACCACGGAACAACCAAAAAACGACCCCGGTAGACGTCTAATACTACAAAATAGCAGAGGTCATTATTACCGGGAGAAAAATTGTCAGAGAATGTTTTTCATTACATTTTACAGAAAAATTGTCAGAGGGAGCACTGTAATGCGATTATGGGTGGCTACAGAATACAATATTCCCGACCTTGTCTAAGTTCTGCACCATTGCGAAAAATGTTATCACACGAGCACAAAGAAAAACTTGGATGATCGGCTGCGTTCACTGGGAGAGACATTTAGTACACTGCCGTGTTTTGCCTGGATACACTAACCTTTTCGGCCTTTTTTTCGCTTTGCCCATCCAATACTATGCCGGCTCTATATTAGGCCTAGTTATCGTATTGTCAACTAGAATTAAGCGATGGGCTACTTTTGCGAGCCCCGGGGATGGTGGCCGCGATTGGAGTCGATATCAACACGTTCACCCCGCCATCGTTCTTTTATGTGTCATATTGTAATAGCGCTAAGGTCGACAGCGTTCACGGTCACGGGTTCAGCTATGTAAACATAGCTTTCTCAGCACTTTAATGATGTGCACTAGATACAACGGCTTACAGCACACGCAGACAGGTACAAGCCCCAAAAGAAAGTGGAAAGCGTTATCCAAAAGGTTGGAAGCTGATCGCACATCCTAGCCCCGCTCTTGGCATAATTTTATGCAAACAAGCCAAAGGTGATCGCACATGCTCACAATTAACTCGAAAGCGTAAAGCTTGCACATTCGAGCGTCCCCGTAAAGCAGCTTAAGCCGAATGAACCTGGACGTTCTTTGCATCGATATCGCTCTTATCACGTTGTACACTGATCCACCGGTACCATGGTCTTGGCATTACATTAGGATAGTGGCCATTATCGCCTTTGTGCAATGACAGCGTCGACTTATAATTGTTTGGATGCGTGCATTTAAAGGCCAACCCGGAAACCAAAGCAACCGCAACTTTTGCAGTGTTAAGGTACTTTCAGATCATGGGCCGGTCGTGATGTCACCTGCATCTAGAAGCCCTGTATTTTTCTCGATGCATCGTAGAGAGCGCGCATAGTCTACGCATGTTGCTGCGAAGGGTGTGAGCGGCGAAGCCTTGGCTAATGAATTACTCCTTGGCGATGTCAAAGGCTTCATCTTCACTGCCAAAGGGCCCGGATGGTAGAACGTTATCGCAACTCGATGGCGGAGCAGCTAGGAATAGCATCATTGACAGCAGTAGAAGCTGCCATGCCAGAGGAGGAAGATGAAAGGGCTCGTCATCATAGCAAGAATGATGAGGGGTCATTGAACAAGGAATGGTCAACCACAACCATGGTCTTTCGCTTAACCGCTGTTGGCAATACAATATTAGGCCTGATGAATAGCCGCACAGTGCACAACCATGGTCTTTCGCTTAACCGCTGTTGACATTACAATATCAGGCCTGATGAATAGCCGCACAGTGTAGGATGGATAAAGCATAAAAAAGGTGAAGATGTGATTGTATTCAGGCAAAAGTGTTAGTTTATTCAAAATCTCCCGTTCATTGGCTTGTGTGTACTGCGCAAGCTTCTATCGTCGTCACCTAGCCAGATCACAAACTCAAAATCAAAGCAAAGACAACCCAATCCGAGCGCTTCCTGCTACATGCTTTTTAACTCCTACCTGCTCGCCACTCGAACGGCCGGCTGCTATGTAATCCCCTCGCGCTCATCGAGCTTGAAACCGCTTACACGGCTGCCCCATCTTCATAGATGGTACACTCCGCGCCAGGTAATATGTTGGAACGTTGGTAATGGGTGCAAGGGTACGTAACGGCGATCGGAGTGTTCGGCCGGTGACTTGGAATTTATTTGGAAACATGATGTCACAAACTCGCTGTGCGTAAAAAGTGGACGCAGAGTGACAAGCAGGATAGTGATTCGTAGATCCAGAATGCGTATGAAATGGATGACTGGAGCAGAGGGCTTTGGCGAGCATGGCAGAGAAGAGAGAACTAGTAAGGAAACACAACAGAATCTTATTGTTCACCTAACGCTTCCTTCTCGCAACACTGTAGGCATCTTGCCTACAGGTTATGAGCCCAATGGCCGCAACCACCGAACCGACTACGAAGACACCAGGGGGTGTCCCGCGAGCCACACCTGGGCGCGGCTCGCCAGCGCGTGCGCCTACCGCACCTGCAGTCGTCAACGATGGACCCGCTCGCGAGAGCGGGAAGCGAGACGATAAGATCCTCGCCACGCTCGCCGCACTCACCGATCGACTGGCGAGCCTCGAGTCGTCGCAGAGAGTGCGAGACGAGGAGGAGCGCATGCTCGGGGCCGTGGAGAGCGGACTGTTCGCCTCGAAACTCGGCGCCAACATGCGCGGCCGACCGATGACGATAGACGCGATCGGAGACGCGGAGGAGAAGGCACCGGTGCCACGTGGGTACCAGCGCGCGACTGATCTTGGCGCGTCGCGATTCGCATCGCTCGAGCCACCTCGCGCGCGCGCAGCACCGCAGCTGCAGCAGCGCGCACCAGCGTCTGCGCCACCTCCGCAGGAGCATGCAGCGCTACCGCCGCCACAACAGTTCGCTCCGCCACAAGCCTATGTGCGATCGGGCCTCAACAGCTACGGGATGCCGTCCGCTAGCCAGCGGAAGTTTAACATACGCAAGTTCGATGGTACGGAGCTGTATTGCGGACTCGAAGGCGGATTCTTTGACTGGAGGCGGACGTTTCTGCGCGCGGTGAGCCTCGCCGAAGCGTCGTGTGGTTTCGGATGGACCGAAGACGTCAAGGTCGACCTGCTTGGGCACTTTCTCGCCGGCACGGCTGAGAGGTACTTTCACAAGCAGGTCGATACCTGGTGGACGCAATCACCCACACTGGTATACATCGTGGAGCAGCTCCTGCACACGTTCAAGACGTCAATTACTGCAAGCCAGGCGATGAAGTTATTCATGGCCAAGAAGGACGCACGACGCACCTGGGCCGAGCATTGCCTGTACATGGTCGCCGTCAGCGAGGCATGCGGTGGTGCCGGCTCGCTTGTTCCTGATAACATCGTCCACCACGCTTCGCCGGAGCTGGTGAAAGTGATGCGCTCCAAGTATGGGCCCACTCGACTCGACTACCTGCGCCATGCTGAGGAGCTGGCGCACTTCGCGCAGTCCATTGAGCACGGCAGCAGCGCGGTGGGTCGTGAGGTCGTTGCCGCGCACGTGGTAGGCAAACCCAAGGGCGCGATCACGTGCTACCGATGTGGGCGACCAGGCCACATCGCAGCCGACTGTCGCGCGCGAGTCGTGCACGAAGACGAGACACCCGCGGAGGGTGGAGGCGCCAGCATGATCCTTGCACTGACCGAGAAGCGCAGAGCGACCACGAAGAAGCGCAACAGGAGGAAGAAGGGCTTGCGCGGCAAGGACGCCGCAGCGACCAATGTAAGCGATGGGGCGCGAGCCATAGACGACACGTGCGGCTTCGTGCTTACGACGAGCGACGGAGTAAGAGCCACGGACAACACGCGCGGCCTCGTACTTGCTGCGACCGATGCCACGGGCGTCGACCGAGGAGACTGGATCCTCGATAGCGGCGCGAGCCGGTATCTTGTCAACGACGAGTCGCTGCTGCTCCAGTCGACGGCTTGCAGCCACGAGATTGCAATCGCAGACGGCGAGTCGCTTCACCTGACGCGTGTCGGCAGCGTGCGCCTCGAGGTTCTTGCGCGCAGCGCTGAAGCGGTAGTGACGCTCACGTATGTGTACTTGGCGCCGCGACTGGCAAAGAACATTGTGTCGTACGGCAAGCTCGCCAACAAAGGATTTGCCCTAGTACACTCCGGCGAAAGGCGTTTGCTCGCTCGGTGCAGAGATGGTGCGGTCGCGTTCGATGCCACAATCGACAGCAACGTGCTGTATGTCGTGACGAAGGCCGCGCGCGATAAGGAAGGTGCAGGCGGAGACGCTATCATGGCGGTGCTCGAAGCGCATGCAACGGAAACCAACGCCGATGAGCCGCACGAAGCCTCGCTGTTGCACTGGCACCAGAGACTCGGCCACCTTGCGTTCGACACGATCGAACGCATGGCGCGCGATCCGGCATCGGGCATTTAGCTCAGCAACAACAAGCGTATGGAGTGCGTGTCGTGCCTCGAGGGCAAGCAGACGCGCAACGCGCAGTCCCAACAAGACAGCGGCGAGCACTCGCCCATCGATCGCATCGGCGGCGTCATCTGTTCGGACCTGAAGGATCCAATGACACCGCGGGACCGACTCGGCAATCGTTACCTTGTGAACTTCGTTGATCACAAGAACAACTACTGCCGAGTCTTCCTCGCGCGCACGAAGGACGCTGCGGCGAGGCAGTTCGAGGCGTTCCTCGTCCACTTCGAGAAGCTTTTCGGGTTCAAGGTCCACGTGCTCCGCACGGACGGCGGCAGAGAATACGCCAACGTGGACCTGTTCTGCGAGCGCACGGGCGTCGCGCGGCAAGTATCGGAGGCGCGAAATCAGGCTCCAAATGGCAAGGCGGAACGAATGCACCGGACAGTGCTGAACCTTGCGCGCAGCATGATGTTTGCCTGCGCGCTGCCCCTGATGTTCTGGGGAGACGCGGTACTATACGCCGTTCACATCCTCAACCGGAGCCCTACGCGAGCAAACGCAAAGAGAGCGTCACCGCTCGAGGTGCTGACGGGCAAGACGCCGGATCTGCGTGGAATTGTCGTTTTTGGCTCCCAGTGCAGCGTGTATAGAGACCCGCGCAAGAACTCGCTGCTGCAGCGCTCGGGGCGCGCCATCATTGTCGGCGTCAGCGAGGAAACCAAGGGCTAAAAGGTGCTGCTGCCGCGTGACAATAAAGTGGTCGTCACGCAGAACATCAAGAATATCGAGACAGTGACGGAGGCGCAAAACGCGCAACTCCAGCGCGTGATGGATGTCGGCGATCGAGCCGGAGGCCAGGAGGAGACGGACGCGCCAGCAGCAGCAGCAGTGGCGAGCGATGGTCGCGCAGAGGGCAACAGGGAGACGCGTAAAAGCAGAAAGCGATGGACGCGAAAGGCGCATGGAACACGCGGGGCGTTGATACGCGCAGAAGCGGCTGCTCGTCAGGAGGAGACAGCCGCGAGCGGAGAAGTCGTAAATGCTGCTTTCAGGCATGATCCGCTTAACTACGGACAGGCGATGCACAGCGGCAAGCGCGAAGGGTGGAAGAAGGCGATGCAAGAGGAAATCGCTGCGCTCGAGGCCAACATCGTCTGGACTATCACATGGCGAACGGCAGGACAGCATGCGCTGCACACAAAATGGGTCTACAAGACCAAGACAGATGCACAGGGCGACCTCGAGCGGCTGAAAGCGCGACTGGTGGCGTGTGGCAACGAACAGGTGCTTGGCGTTGACTACACGCTCACCTTCGCTGCCGTGATGGACCTATCGACGGTCAAAGTGATCCTGGCGCTTGCGGCTACGTGGGGGGTGCCTGCCAAGGACGGTGACATCCCCAACGCCTACGTTAAAGAGGACAAGGAGCCGCACCTGCGCATCTATCTACAGATGCTGCGCGGCAAGCCAGTCTCGAAGGAGACGCTACGAGCGCAAGGCGCTTCGAACACGAGCGAGCTGGTGCTGGAGCTGCGGAAGAGCCTCTACGGGCTCAAGCAGGCAGGCCGGCTGTGGAGCCAGCTGCTGCACTCGAAGCTCTCTACTGCCGGTTTCACGCGGTGTGAGAGCGACATGTGTTTTTACTGGAAGCGCGACGGCGACGACCTCGTCGTGGTCGGCGTGTATGTCGACGATCTTCTAGCGACAGGGACGAGCGCGGCGGCGGTCGATCGGTTCTTTGCAAGCCTCGCGTCGTTGTCGATCAAGGACCTGGGGCGTGTCAGCAAGTTCCTGGGAATGCACGTGACGCACAACGGTCAGAATGGGTACACGCTCGATCAGGAGGAGGCCATAAGAGACCTCCTACGCGACAACGGACTCGCTGACGCCAACTCGACGTGGACGCCGATCGACGAGAGCTGCTACGAATTGGATGAGGGCGACGCGGAGCTTCTTGGGACGCCAAGCGCGCAATTAGGACCGACTGTGCGCCAGTTTTAGTCGCTGGTCGGTTCGCTGATCTGGGCGGCGCGTTGCACGCGCCCTGACAAAGCGTTTGCGGTGCACAAGGTTACGAGACGAGCCCACGCGCCTCGACTAGCAGACTGGAAGTTGGGTAAACGCACCGCGCGATACCTCAAGGGTACGGCGGCGCTTAAGATCACGATGATCCCAGAAGACAATTTGGTGCGGCGATGCGACTAGAAGCGTTCAGCGACGCCGACTTTGCCGCCGACAAGACGGACCGGAAGTCAATGACGGGCGGCATCGTGATCCTGAACGGGATGACCGTCAGCTGGGGTGCGCGGAAGCAGGGAGGCCTCTCCCTGTCGACGATGGAGGCGGAATTTGTCGCGGCGAGTGAAGTCGCGCGCGAGCTGCTCGGCCTGCGCGAGATGATGTGCGAAGTGGGCGTGGAACCCGCGCTTCCGATGCAGTTGCGGGTGGACAACCAAGCGGCGATCGCGCAGATCGCGGGAGAGGCATCGTCGCTGAAGGCAAAACATGTGGATGTGTGCTTAGGTTCCTTTGCGACTACTCGCGTCGCGGTGTCATCACGGCGAGCTATGACAGATCGGAGCAGATGCTCGCAGACCTCCTCACGAAGGCGTTGGATGTGACGAAGCTCTCGACACTGCGCGCACTCGTGCGCACTGGTTAAGAAAAGGACAAGGACAATCAAGGGCGATCAAGGAGCTCAATGATGGAGGAGCACAAGGACAAGGACATGTGCAAGCTCAAGAAAATGGAACTGGGTGTGAGGCAAGTCACAACCGAAGAGAAGTGTTGGAATGTTGGAAATGGGTGCAAGGGTACGTAACGGCGATCGAAGTTTTCGGCCGGTGAATTGGAATTTATTTGGAAACATGATGTCACAAACTCGCTGTGCGTAAAAAGTGGACGCAGAGTGACAAGCAGGATAGTGATTCGTAGATCCAGAATGCGTATGAAATGGATGACTGGAGCAGAGGGCTTTGGCGAGCATGGCAGAGAAGAGAGAACTAGTAAGGAAACACGACAGAATCTCATTGTTCACCTAACTCTTCCTTCTCGCAACACGCATCTTGCCTACATAATATCGTACACCTGTACTTTTATTCCACTGCTCAGTCAGTTATACGAATTAGCGGGTGCTATTTAGGTATTGGATGCATTTTATTGATAGAAACACTCTGTATGTGTTAACGATTGCGATTTCGCAAAGCGTAAGGGGCCTCACATACAAATGACTGGTTTTGCCACTGCGACATGTAAAATCGTACAAAATGGCATGCAAATTTTGAGTATAATGTATCAGTATGATTGTATTACTGGGTTGATATTAGCGGCACAAGCATTTGGCTACACGATGTTAGCGGCTCATGTCGACGGAAATGGCAACGAGAAGCCAAGACTTACCGACCGCGAGCGGGGAAGGATATTGGGGCATCGAGAGGCTGGACTGATTTTGCGTGCCATTAATACTGTCAACTCAAGGAGCCTTGACAAAATCGTCGAGTAGTATTCCCTACCTCTCCTTTACAGATAAAATGCCGAGGACCCGCTCCGCTTCTCTCGAAGCGCCACTTGCGACTTCTCTTGCGCACCTCTGCTCAGGGAAAACCTGTCCGCCGCCCAGCTCAAGGTCGAGCTAAGCCTGCCGGTATCCCTCCGCACCGTGCAGCGCATTTTGGCCGATGTCGATTGGCTTGTGTACGCCAAGATAGAAAACACTTTGCCGCTCACGGTCGCGGACGTGGGTGCGCGTAATCCTGGGCCAAGGACATGCTGTTGCATGAGGATGCCGGGTCCGTCTGGGACTCCATTATTTTCTCGGACGAGAAAAAATGGAATCTTGACGGGCCCGACGGCTTTTAGCACTACTGGAGAGATGTGCGCCAGTCCTTCTGCCAGACGAAGCGATGTCAAGATGGAGGTGGGTCCATCATGGTTTGGGCCGCTTTTAGCGCCCGTGGCAAGTCTCCACTTGTTGTGCTGACGGGGAGGCAGAATTCGGATGACTATGTTTATACAGTGTCTGAATATCTTCTACTATTTGCACATCTGATCTATGGTACAAATTTAATTTTCCAATAGGACAACGCAAGCGTACATGTTTCACACCGTAGCCGCGAATTCTTCAGTGAAGAGGGTATTCAGGTGCTTGACTGGCCATCAAAGTCACCTGATCTCAACCCTATCGAGAATTTGTGGTCTATCGCTAGCAGGCAAGTGTACGCCAATGGATTACAGTTCGAGTGCGCATCTGAGCTAAAGGCTGCGCTAATTGCAGCTTGGAATGCAATTCCGGATGCCACTTTTGTGTCGCTTGTTCGCTCGATGCCGCGACGATTCATTGAGGTCATCGAGAAGAAGGGCACTATAACCACTTGTAAATAAAGTGAGTATTTTAATTGTTCACTTTACACGTAAAATTTGTATGCCATTTTGTACGATTTTACATGTCGCAGTGGCAGAACCAGTCATTTGTATGTGAGGCCCCTTACGCTTTGCGAAATCGCAATCGTTAACACATACAGGGTGTTTCTGTCAATAAAATGCACCAAATATCTTAATAGCACCCGCTAATTTGTAAAACTGACTGAGCAGTGGATAAAAGTACAGGTGTACGATATTACCTGGTACGGTGTGTAAAAGAAAGAAGAAGATCTCCACTAATGCAACACATACTTTTGTCAGCCACATTGAAGCCGCCACTGGCTTGTGGCTTCATTTTGTTTCGTGCGATAGATTCTCCCTCTGATTCAATGTCCCGCTAGACATGCAACTCTGATAAAAGTGCCGCATATGCGGCGATGGTATTCATGTGCCTTCTTTATAAGTGCTGTAGCTTTCAGCCTTACAATATGTGACGTATGCTCGTAAAGTTATTGTATTCAAGGCATACTCTTGCGAATGCACTTGATGTAGTAGTCAAGTAGAATAAAGGTAGGCGATGATCGAAAAGTGTTAAAATAGAGAGGTCCGGCAATGAACAAGCCGTCCCCGTCAAGTCGGTCATCCGTGCGGGCTTGGGGTCCGAAGGTAACAACCGCGCCCGCGTATGTAGCGTAGTGCCGGATAAGAGGACGAGAGACTCCGTTGTCATATCAAATAAGGTACCGGCGCCTAAAATAACAATAGTGGTGCGATGTATTGGTGTCTCAGCCTACGTATACTGATGTATATTTCGGCAGAAAGTTCGCTGACTGTTCCGGTAAAACGCCCGAGTATAACATGGTTTGGTCGAGACGGAGCCTGTTGAGCTCTTGACGTAGGACGAGGATACATTGTGCCGAATAACCAAAGAGCGCGTCTATAATTCTAGGATCTAAGTAGCCAACCGATAGAGCAGAAGGTATTATCCTGCGCAACGGATTTTACGTGCCGTTTTGTGTTAATCATGAACATCTACAGATATAATTACTTATTGCGTGACTTCGAGCTCTTTCGTTTTGACTTTAAACGACTGCAACCAAACGCGTGCCCGCTTCTTCCTCCTCACATTCTGTAGCTCACAAGCCTGTAACTCATAGGCGAGAACCACTAGAAAACCCGCCAGCAGCGACACCTCCAGTCTGCGCCGCAGGGTGATGCGATAATCGTCCACGCACAAAGCCACCGAAGCCTTTTTTCTTCTGCTGCTCCTTTTGCATCTCAAGTTGGTGCACGCGAGCACTATATTTCGCGGCAAGATCTCGGACCACACCGTCGTCGTCGCGGAATTCGCCAATGACCTGGCGGAAGTCTGGCACCCGCTCGGAAGCCAACGCCTTGAGGAACGGAATCAGATTCCTTAACTCGTGGTCATCGCGATCCCGTCCATCAATAAAAGGCTTGACCGGTATAGCATTTTCCGGCTGCAATTGATAAGCCTCCGGATCATCATCCAGTATCACCACTTGACGCAGGTCCCGGTTCAAATTACCAAGATCTTTCACGTGAGCACCATTCAAATAGCGCGTCGCATCGCGTGAGAGCACATGAAGTGCACACTGCTTAGGGTCCAGCTTCTGCACAATCTCTTCGGCGCCGTAATTCTGCGAGAAAATAACAATCTCATAATACTGGCACAGTGTCTCGAGGAACTCGTCGACACCCGGACGCTTGGCGTGGCGCCAGCCATGCTTCCGCTACTCAAAGAAAGAAATCAAAACGTACAAACACAAGCAACGCAAAACCGTCCATTCAGTTTCGTGCACCCCGCCAATAACAGTTCTCTACCATCTCCACCCTAGCAGCAACGTACGCTCCACTCTGAGTGCACCAGCGTATCTTCTAGATCCACAACCAGGACAGGAACTGGTGGTGTATCTGCTGGTACTTGAGGGATCGGCCAATCCGGCAGCAATTTCTGCCGCGACGGGTCCGTGAACGGCTTAACTGTCTCCTCCACTTTCGTGCTAACAAAGGCATAGACATCCCCCAAGAATGTGGCACCCAGCGTCTCTCGAATGCGCCTCTTCAGCTGCTCGTCCAGTACAAAGTGCCATAGAATGGACCCCGAGATGCCGCCCGCCAAGAGCGCAAATGAGACACGCGCAGGGAGCGAAGACGTACGCACAACTTTGTGCTCGATACCGTCGGTCGAGTGCTTGGCAGCTGCTTGACGCGCCGCTCGTCGCTCGGCTCGAGGCACGACGTGAAGCGGCGTTTCCCGTCCGACATTCGCAGTGACACGAGAAGAAGAAGAAGAGGAAGAGGAGAATGTGGAGCGCTTGGCGGCTGGGGTCAAGCAGCGAGGCGCGCTGCGTGAAGCTGCAGCCGCGCGAGCGCTACGCAGGACAAGGACTCGCAACGTCATGGGATCGTAAGGAGCTCTTTTAGAAAAACAAAAATCAATGGTTGATGTGGGCGTTCATGTGATGCACACAAAATCAGGTAGAGGATTTGGGGTGTGGTTTAGTGTGTACCACGTGACGTTGCAATCGAATGTGTCTACCACATAATAAAACCAAGTATGCCGATCAAAAGACCGGTACAGCTGCTGCTGCTGCTTGGGCTGCTACTTGCGCCGTGCATTGTCGCGCCGGGCGACTTTGCGTCCCTGGACCCGGACGTTGCTGCAGCAGAAGGAGGAGGAGGCGATGTAGAAGGTTCTTCGTACGTTGAAGACGCTGCTGCGGCTGCGGAGGACGACGACGCTGACGATCGCCACTTCTGGGGCGCTCGACGCCACGTCGAGGGCTTTGACTTTGACCCGTCTCAAGGACTGACGTTCTACGTCGCCGCCGACAGCAGCACGTGCTTTTATCAAGATGTCAAGTTTCTGGAGGCAGCCGGCAGTGGAGACAAAGACGAAGAGCTCCGAGGCGCCTACGTCGTGAGTGCAGTGGACTCGCGCATTGATCTGGAAGTGAAGGATCCTGAGGGTGGGACAGTGGTCCGTCAATCGGGCAAAGCCGAGAGTGAATATGAGGTCGCACTTACGTGAGTGATATTCCAGTGGGCTGTTTTGGGGACTCATTGTGCTGGATGCTGAAACTGGTGTGGCTCGTTTGGGTGTGAGTAGACGAACGGGTGTCTACGAGCTGTGCTTTCGAAATGTAAATGATGACGGCAAGCTGGTGACTCATGTGACTAATACACTACAGTTGCAGCATCCGATTGGGAAAGGTGGGTGCTTGTGTGTGTTGGTTCGGTGGGTGGGTGGGTGTAAGGACAACCTAGGCTTTTGGAGGTGGATGGGCTCATGGTAGATGGGATTCGTGTATTGAATACGTGACTTTTATTTTTCAATTATAGAGCACGTGAGTGGGTTGGCCAAGTATGCGTCGGACCTGGACTTGCGTCTTGGCGAGCTCGAGTCGGAGCAGAGACTGCAGCTGATTCGGACTGATAGACATGCCAAAGGTCAAAAAAAATTTGTTTTTTTACGTGTTAAGGGGTTCAGTTTGTTTTGTACTGATGTTTGTCGATTATATTATGTAGTCGAGGAAGCGATGAATAAACGTGTCGTATTCTACGGTGCGCTGGAGTGCGCTATCTACCTCATGGTATGCTTCTGCCAAATTTACTACATCAAGAACTTGCTCGAAAGCCCGCAGAAAGCGCGGTCCTGGGTCTAAGAGGCACATTGAATGGACCAAAAGCGTTCGACCTCGGTAAGATTTTGCGCCAAACGAGATGGTCTAGATGCAAAAGCTCTGCGCTTGAAGCTGGTTGAGCGAGGTAAATGCAAAAATGCACCTATTGATCGACGTTTGAAATATCTCGGCACCGTTTTCTGTTACGGCGTCTGTAAGCCAGCGTCCAGCGCCTTGATATACTCAAGGTCAGGCAAATTATCTTTCGGCCGGTAGCGTTCCCATAAGTCTAGAAAGCCAGGTCCGAGTCCACGTGCTTTCTCGCCGTTGCCGTCTTCGTACATCCACAAGTAGCATCGCGCAACTTCTTCCAATTCTTGTTCAGTAAGTCTGAGGGTAGTCCACCACGGGTCATTCGTCTCAGTAGCTACATTCGGCCCAACCTGGTTTTGATATAAGCAGGCCAAATACACCGCACCCGCAGCAAGTGCGAAGCAGTCGAACGCAAGACACAATCCACTCTTCACTGCGTCCGCGACCAGCAAGAACGTGATTTGACGAATATTCTCGTACGAAATATCCGGGTGCATCGCGTCCAGATTAAACACTTTTTCCATGTGCGGTGCAATATACGCAAACGGCTGTGGCGACCCAATTTCGAACGACAAGGTCAGCAACAAGATCCGTTCAAGCAGCAGCACTTTGCTTGTATTCGCTTCAATTTCACCGACTTCCACAACCTCCAACAATGCCTTGAGCCACTCCAAGTGTTTCGCATTGGTTGCTTCCTTATCATTGCCATGAGTTGAGCTATTTATTGCACCTGGTTTGTTCTTCAAATCACGTTTTTGTTTCTTGTTGAAAGGTAGCACAGCAACAGGTGGCGGCGTGCGTCGAGCACACACAGCCATAGTTACTTTTCTCGACTTATGTAAGGAATGATTAACCCTAATCTTCTCGAAGGCTTTCTCGCGACACAATAACAGGTACATGGAACACTCGGTGACATAGCGGACCTTGACCGGGAACTCCTCCGTCTTCCCAGCCAAAAACAGCGCCGCCGTGGCAACGAGAAATCGGTCGTGCGTCGCAAACGAGTGCATCATGTAGAACCTTTGTACATACAATTGCGCCGTCACACTGGGCGCTGTCGGCATTTCCAGCAATTGAGCCAAGTGTTCAATAAAGACGCAGGTGGTCCGTCGCAGCTGGTGCTCGACTCGCCATGGGACGTTGGACTCTGTGAGACTTGGCGTGCAAAACACGGACGCAAGATCCGATTCAGTGTTCTCCTTCTCTGCGTCGTCCCGGGTGTGAGTGGGGGACTGCAGGAGCATTGCCCGCAGCTGTGGGAAGACCCACTTGCTAGCAGGCGCAGGTGCCATGCGATTACTTGCTTCACGAAGTAAAAGAGGAGAGAGCCAATCAAGAGCGACGAAAGTGGACCGTGTGTGAAGTAGCCGAATAATGATTAGACGGAATGTAAGGGTACAAATTGACTGGCAATATGTCGATAGGGACCGGTGACCACTACAACATATTAGCTGTTTGGGAGCCAAGATGTAGACTTGTGTCGATACGATAATATGGCCGAGCGCTTGTTGTGGAGGCCCTAAATTTTGGAACAATAAAAATGCTACGACCACCTACCTACCTGTAGTTTTAACAAAACTATGGGGCATACTATTTTCTAAATTTACAATCGACTGTTAAATGGAACACGCCTTTTACCATTTGTTACTGTGAACCAGTAAAGAAATGTATTTCGTGCTTACATAAAAGAGAAAAAATAAGGTGACACGATTTGAGAGGTTGACCAGAACGTGACACGGTTTCTTTAAACACTGTTTGTAGCATAACTACTAAGCGCTCCTTAACAGAGGAAGTCTTAGACCTAAAGAGACTTATAGTTTTAACGAATTAGCAACGACTCACAGTCGTCCAAGCGTACAAGCTTAACAAAACCGGTTCCAAAAGGATTAATGTAGCGGAGCTACACAGCTCTTTAAGTCAGAGGAAGACTTATTTAACAAGCCAACGGCTTACGGCTGACAGCCTATTTGTTCTTCGGAACTAATTTATATCAAGTTAGAGTCACCCAGTTCTACGGAACTCGTGTGGACTCTACGAGCTAACAGCACAACTACTGTGTACTTCTAGAGAACCACAAACACAATGTGCAGGGGAGTAGGAGTCTAAGGACTCTCTAACCTACGACAGTTCTAAAGAACTGTTAAACGCAAGGTGCGAAAGGAGGGAAGTCTAGGAATTCTGCTCAAAATGAGAACTGAGTATATTTGAATTCTACATCAAGGAAAATCCTACTGTAAGTACCCTATTCTAAACTAAACCAGATCGTATACAAATACTACTATTCGAACTGAATGGATGGCTGGCACATCACTCAGTCATCAAATGACGACGGTACAAAGTACGTACACGGTAAGTACCGTAAACCTGAGAATATCGATCAATCGATATTCTCTTGCTAATATAGATCTAAGGTCAAACACATTCATCCATATCATTTAAAGGGGGTCTTTGACCAATTTAGCCGATGGCTAGTGTGACCCCGTTACACCCTCCCCCAGCAGACCTAGGTTACCACAAACGTCACTCGACTCATTCTCTCATTGAGACTCATTACAAAAGTAATCAACTCACATGGACCGACCTGGACACCTCCTATAAGATAAGGCTCTAGCCGAATTTCTTGGTGTCGAGGACGTAAATTATGACAGTGGTAGTGATAACAAAGTCGAGGGGGAGGAGCAATCCAAACCCAACACGCCTGTGCGTGGGGAAATTCCCCATCCGGCATTAAATCCGTTCTCTGAACGTAGTGCCGCGACTGCGCTTACAGCGCTGGAAGCAATGTCCCACATGGTTTCATCCATTGTCACTAAGCCGCTTGATAAGGAGCCACAACGCATGCTCGATCAAGCGGCAAGCGCACGGCGCAAGTCACAGTTCAGGCAAAGTTGCAACGACACAGTGAACATACGTTCAATCCACCTGGCGTGGAAGAACTGATTCGTCAAGCGACACGCCATACTTTGGCAACGTGGGCCACCGGCCCCGAGGCAAAAACACCCACTGAAATCGAATGCCGCAAGGCTTTTCGAAAGAAATACTTAAAACCTACTGTGATGACTTTGAGTCAATGCAGAGAACGGCTACAAAAGCAGGCCCAAGGAACACCGGTTCACAAAATAGGGGTATACCCATCATTATGTCCGAAGATAGGGACGAAACTGAGGAGGACAAAATGTTCCTCCGCTAGGTGCATGGCGTTTGACGCCTCAGTAGCATGCACGCGCTACGCGAAAGTGCCAGTGTGGCAGACGTTCGTCTAAAGCGAAATCTTCGATACGACTTCGCGAAGTCAAAATTCAGAGGCCGTCTACGGGGAGATCTACGCTCCCGAGATGCTTCGGATGCCTCTGCAGCCGCGAGTTCACGTCAATCTTTTGACACGAACTCGCCCGCTCTCACTACGACGAGTGAGAAGCGTGACGCTCGTCAAGCCGAGCTCGGCCGTGACGCTTAACATAGTCAAGGGCGTATGGGCAGTCTTTCCGTAGGGGAATCTCATACTCCTATGAGTTTTCAGACTCAGGGAACTCACGCCACTTCACCAGATATTGGTAGTGAACATAACGACAACTTCGTTGAAGTACTCGCTCCACATGGAACTGTAATTTCCCTTGCTTATCAAGCAACGCCGGTGGCGGTCGGAGTATCGGCTGATAGCCAAGCTGAGTTGGTGAAGAAAGTGGAGGATCTCTGTGGGACTTTGGGTCCGACTCATAACACCCTGGGCGAAGTCAGATCTCGTCTGACAACGTAGGAAGGCAATCGCGCCTGTCTTCAGATTTTAAAGTCACGTCAGAGTCGTTTAGAGGCTAAGCTTGACCTCTTAATTCGGATGCAACATCCTATGGCAACGCCAATGTACGCGGTTCGAGCGCCTTAGAGTCAACATGGTACGGGTCCCGGTATGGCTTAAGCAGGCCGACATAAAAGACGGGATGTGTACGCAATTTGCACGGCAAGTTGAGCGTATACGCAAGGCCCTTCTTGGCCACGACCGTAAAAGGTCCGTTGAAGCGCGGACGCAACTTCGTTTCAAAAACAGCTGACACTACAAGTGTAGGTAGATTTTTAGCGTTTAGCAAGAATTGGTCTCCGACCTTATAAATTTCAATAAAATATCTGCCTTTGGCATCTGCTTGTTGCTTTTGTTTGTCTTGATTATTAGCCATTGCATCTCGCTCATGTCGTAAGACATTTAAACTTGCTGCAAGGAACTCATTAACCTGTTTCTAGAGAGTGGCAGGGCTGACATCAGCAAGCCGATCGGCAATCACTCCCCCACCAAGACCGGAACCACGGAGTGGTAGCGTCAATGGGACGCGCGGATGGGGGAGGCCGTTCACGTAGAACGGGGTGTGGCCAGTCGAGGCATGAACCGAATTGTTGATGGCGAATTCGATCACCGGAAGCATAGAGCTCCAACGCCGAGGCGTATCTGCGCAAACGCTGCGCAAAATGTCACCAATGACACGATTAGCGCGTTCAGTTTGACCATCGGTCTGCGGATGATTTGCTGTGGACACGTCCAGCCTGGTGCCCAGCACCTTAAAGATGGGAGTCCAAAACTTACCAGAGAAACGTGAATGACGATCAGAGACAACTGCCACAGGAAAACCGTGTTTACGAAACACACGATAGATAAATAGCTTTGCCGTGCCTTCACCATCGGTCGAATCCGACACAGCCGCAAAATGAGTCATCTTGCTCAAACGGTCAACAAAGACCGCAATGCCATTGTTGCCTTCCGAATACTTCGTAGGCCAAACACATAGTCCATACGGATGGACTCGCAACACTCAGTTGGTACAGGTAAACTAGCAAGCGGCGCAACTACATGTGCTGAGGGTTCTACCTGTGGACACGTTTCGCATGCACGCACACATGTTCTCACCCATTTGTACGAATTGGGTCACCAATGCGTCCGGATAACTGAGCTATACATCTTCTTACGACCGAGCTGACTACTCAAAGCAGTGTCATGTGCTTCTAGGAGGATACGATACTTCAAGTCCTCATCATGAGAAACAAATATGCGAGGCACACCTTTACCACCTATGAAATATTACAACAATTTCATGTCGATCACACAACGATGCAGGGTCGCACGTTAACGTGCTGATTATTTGGTGTCCGAGTCTTTAAATTCCTTGCTTACAAGATCTTGTAGTATTGCTGCACAGTGCTCATCACGTGCATATGCCGCACAAATTAAGGTACACAGTGTATGATGACAGAGTAATAACCTGAGAGATCTCATAATCAGGTCTGCGTGACAGCGCATCAGCCAAAATATTTTGCTTGCCCGGCTTATGCTTCCCCTCGAAGTTGTATTCAGCAAAGAATGTAAGCCAACGTTCCATACGCTGTGAGAGGTGAGGCGACTCTGTCGCAGTGCGTAACGACGCATGATTTGTGAAGATCACAAATGGCTTTGAACCAAGGAGATGGACTCTGAACTTATCAAGATCATACTTCATTGCAAGTAACTCCTTGTCGTGAGCTGGATAGCTCTTTCTGCAGCCTTTAGCTGACAAGACTCATACGCAAAGAAGTGCTCATGTCCATCGACATCTGTATGCAATAATGCACAACCAATCGCAAAATTAGACGCGTCGTAAACGACACTAAAAGGCCACTCAGGGTCAAGCAAAGCCAAAATTGGAGCATGAAGTAGACCTTCCTTTAAATGTTCAAAAGCTTGAGCATGGAATGCATTCCAACACCAAACTACATCCGTCCTAAGGAGGTTGGTTAGTGGCCTTTTCATGTGCAATGTACTTGTGCAAGTAACTAGCAAGGCCAAGCCATTAACGCAAGTCTTTTTAGTTTGACGAAACCAACCAGTCAACAATTGACCTAACCTTAGTGTGGTGGAGTGGTGATCGCTAACTTTTTGAGACGATCCCGACTCCTTACTGGCGCCCATACGACCGACTAACGGAGGGGGTACTCTGATTCCGTGTATATCGCCTTTCTCACCTTGTGTTCCCATCGATAGGGCGGGTTGCAATCTTCCAGGTGGACTTGTGCCGAGGGAAAACTTGACTGTTGGGGATGGATTTGTGTGATCGTGCGGAAATTTTCGCGCGACGATTACTGGGGTATCGGTGAGGGTACTGATATAAGTTACCCTGATCTCAGCGAGATAACCTTGCCCACTGTGTGGATTCTTGATACGCGAGACTTCTGACCACTTAAGCCGTCTCGCGATCTTGTGCATTGCCTTTACGTGTCTTACTGCGTCCGATTGAAGTTGCAGTTACCTGAGAATTCTTGAGCGCACCTGGCC